AGATCATCTATTCTTCCCCTAAGTTCATTGAGCATACTTATAAGCAGAGTTTTGAACTCTGCATCTGATAGATTGCTTGTCTCCTTTTTGTTTAGTTCTTTTATTTTAACTTTGTTCTAGTCTTTCAGTTGAGGCATTTTTCTTTGTCTCCCCATTTTGGCTGCTTCTCTGTGCCTGTTTCTATGTATTAAGTAAGGCTACTCTGTGTCCCAATCTTAGTAGAGTGGCTTTATGTATTAGGTGTCCTGTGGGGCTCATTGGAGCAGTCTCTCTGGCTACCTGAGCTGGATGCTCCAGATGTGGTCTCTGTATGGGTTGTGTGTGTGCCTTTCTGCTGTAGTTGAGCCTTGATTACTGTTTACATATCAATAGGAGTGATTGACCCTTGGGCTGACTGGTTGTGAAGACTGGCTGGTGAGGAGCTAACCCTATAGAGCAAGATTCACTTTAGCAGGGCTCTGGTGCCTGCTCAGTCTGCTCTTTTGGGTGGGTCATCCTCAGATGGAGCCCCGGGTGGTGCTCTGGCCGTGTCAGAATCTTGCCACTGGGGTGGGGACCTACCACTGACCAAGTTCAGCTGTAGCCTGTACCCTGCCTGGGTCCACCTAGCAAAAGTCACCAAGAAATCTACAGATGGCTGCCACCTGCAATGGGCTTAAAAGTGCTTCTAGAGGCCTAGCCACAAACCGAGGTTGACTGCCACCAGTTGTGCTTGGGGCTGCTCAGCAAGAAGTACACTGATGCCAAATGCTGCTTGGTTGGGTTTTGTGAACCTTGAGAGATTTGGGGAAAGTCCACAGTATTAGCCCAAACAGGCCATTTGTGTAAAAAAAGTTACTAGAGGTGGCTTGGGTGTGCCTGCAAGTTGGGTACGGCAGGGTCTCAGGGAATTACTAGGATGGGGTGACTAGTTTTAGCCAAGTTGATGGAGACTCAGATATGGAGGCACCTGCTTCTGCATGCCTGCAGTGGGGAGGGTTCAACAAAAAGACAATTGCCTCTGTCAGCACTTCTGTCTGGGAGAAAGCTTACCCTCAAGCTCTTGCTCTGAAGCCAGACAACCCAGTTCCTCCCTGCATGTCCTTGGTGCCCCTCAAGCTGCTGCCCCAGCTCTGGAACTCAGCACAAATGAGTTTACCAGTGAATAATTCTGTGTGCATGAGCCCTTTAGGCGGAACTCCATCTGCCCTCCATTTCACGCAGAAGTTGTGGCTGTTTTCACAGCCAGAAGTTGTGGAACTTCTCTTCTCAGCACTGCTTCCCTTCGTTCCTCAGGGAGTACTCCACAGCTGAGATATCCCTCTTGATTCTCGACCGCTACCCATGGGAATGGGACCAGCTCGTTTTATGTCTCCACCCCACCTACCAGTCTCAAAGTGGCCTCTTCTGTGTTTCCCCAGTTGTAGGACTTTTGTTCAGCTAGACTTCAGGTGACTCTTAATGATGGTTATTCTGTAGTTTAGTTGTAATTTTAATGTGGTTGTGAGAGGAGGCAAGCACAGTATTCACCTACTCCATCATCTTGACTGGGACAGAGCCATATCCCCTTTTTAAATGGCTGCTTTAAAACCAAGCAGACAAGATTATCTGCTTTGTAGATTATCTCTATATGTCATCAATGCACTTATTATAGTCATCTCTCACCCTCTGTAGCATGTGCACATAACGAAGCAAGCCTATGACTTTTTCACCTCAATATCTCCAGCATTTAGCATTGTAGCTGACACAAAGTAGGTGCTGACACAAATATTTAAACTATGCACTTAAAGGAAGCAGAAACATTGATTTTAACCTAAATATTATGGGACACATAATGAGACTTGACGGCTTTGATGCACTTGTTTCCTTTTACAGGCCAATAAAATATATACAAGTTACTGTTTCATGCTTGGTTCTCAAGAATCAGATGCTGAAATGGAAGCTGTGGTGCAGGGTATTTATTAAGTATCAGCACTTGTGGAAAGCCAGGGGAGAAGCAAGCTTGGGCAGAAAGAGAAGCAGAGCTGGCATGCCTCAGACAGCCCAGTGGACAGCTCTGGAGTCAGGTTTGCCCACTAAAGTTGTCTTTCATCAGAACAAGATAGCCAGACTCTTATACCTCCACCTCTATCACTCATTGGATATGAGTCATTGCTGGAAGAGCATGCCCTTGGGCAAGGTAATTCTTTAGCTGAAGGGATTGACAGCTGAGGCAACAAATCCTTCCTTAGTGCTTGTTCATGTTCACCATAGCCACCAAATTTAAAATATTCTGTTTACCACACGAGAAGATGATATCCATATTTGAGGGCACAGAATGACTTTAATCAACAAGAAATTTTAAATTATATTCTGAATTGAATTAAATAAAATGCCTATGCTCTCATAAATTTATGGTAGAATATACCAAAACATTTCACTAATATAGTGAAGTCTTACAGAAAGATACTGGTTTGTTAGCATGTGATGTCATTTTCTCATGAAATACTGTCCTTCAGCAAGTAGTTGCTGGATATCTGTTTGTGCACTGAAACAGGAATTACTAAGCAAAGCATTCCTCCAGGTGTGTAATGATAGCACTATAGAAAGAACCTCTTTTCCCAGATGCAAGCCTCTCTACTGCTCTAACTCCTGAAGGGTATGAGCATGTCTGTCCACCAGGATGTGGTTGCACCTGGAGTCATGAAGAAGGCAGCATCAGCAGGACAAGATCCCTTTCTGATCTAAGCTTTCTCAACCTTTTGACCCCCATGCATCCAGTATTCCATCTTGAGTAGCTCTCTTGCTCAAGTGTGTATGTTTTGACAAGGCCTGAAGAAGTGACCAAAAACAGATCTATACCTTAATTTCTCCAAAGTCACAAGGAAGAAATCAACTTACTCAAACAGTTGCTAGTCATAGTGTGTATACACCCAACACATTATGTTCCACCTAATAGAACATAATGTGTTGGGTGGATTAGAAAACACTTGAGTTTAGTAGAAAGTCAACCACTATTTCTTCAGGACCAAGAAGGGTTGATTTGTTCTTAATTGTAAGTTTTAAAATGAATTCAAGAGCTTACATAAATAAGACTTAAGAGATTGGTCTAGGAAACTGAGATCTCAAGAAAATTCAGTCCATAAACCCATCTATCTTCTAATGCAGTGTTAATTCATTATTATTAAACGCTTATAAATGATGAGGGTAAATTTAGTTTACAAGAGGCTTGCCTTACACCATTATGGATTATCATACATATTTTTAATATTTTAGCTACTAAGATTATAACATATTTAATCCATCTTTATTCATGCATAGCAAATGGAGAAGACAGGTGAACATTCTTTAGGCATTCCAGCAGTAGTATTTTTCATTGGTTAATGTTTTCACTTGGTTCTCTCAGTCCTAAATAGGATAGACATTAAAATAAGGCTAAAAGTTTAATTTTTGAAAGATAAAATACAAATTCCATAGTAACTTAATATCCAATGTCTAAAGTCTCTCAGTTCTCAGGGCTATTTTTAGGTCTTCAGAAAAAATACAACATTTTTTCCTTTTTCTCAGCCCTGATGGTCCCCATTTAAACTTGCCTGTCTTGCCAAACTCTTTTCCAGCCCATTCACCATTTCAGCATCCAACATACTGAAAAGAGTGAGGTTCTTTTCACTGGTAGAGGGAAGGGAAGTATCTGTGGCTGTGGAGCAGGAAGCCTTGGTTTTAGTTCCAAACTCAAGATTTAGTATGAGACTTTGGACAAGTTCCTAGGTCTCAGCAGACCTCCATTTGCTCATCTATTTAGGGAGAGAAGAGGATGGGTGCTTTTTAATGGCCCTCTCAATGCCACTGTTCTATGATTCTCTAAAGTTTCAAGCATATTCTGTTCATTTCCATGGGGGAAGCTTTGACAGTAGACCATGTCATAGGATTTGAAGGAAATATTTTCTATGGCTTCCAGGGAATTTAGAAAAGATGAGTCATGTAACTATCCCCTCCAGTCCCAAATCGGTAGTAAGGAAATAAAGACTGGAGTTTGGGGCATGTGATTCTCAAAGCAAACTGAGTTTTCAAAGCTAGGAAGAGATATTTTAAGGCTAGAAGTATCGTTTCTACTTTCTGATTGGTGACGTAAAAGAGTAGCTATAAATGTGACCAGTGGTTAACACTTTCATTATCAGTTAAGAATTATAACCATTTAACTTTAGGTATCAAATTTAATTCTTTTTTTTTTTTTTATGACAAAACTTCATGTAATGGTCCAAATTACCATTTCATATTTGCCTTTAGAGTGAGACTTCCAACATAGTGGACTGGCTGACTCCATCACAATGAAGGTTAAGATTAAGGTCAAGGTTTAATAGCATTCGTTTCTCTGTGTTCCAAAGCCACAAATACAAATTTAACATTGTTAGCTCCCTGGAAAATGCGTGAAAGCTAAGCCAAAGAGTTTGAAAAACCATCACCTCTATAAGAAAAGTAATTCACAGGTTGGCTGCACTAACAGTGAGGTGCACATTCATCTCTAATGAACCAAGACAGCATGGTGTCAGAGTTGCCCTGGAAACTGAATTGCCAGTCTAGGTTAGTGTTGAGATGTCTAAAGTAGACATAGCACTATGCTGGCACCATGAATATTCTCATAATGCTCAGGAGTACCATTGGACATGGAGCACTGGATGGTCAATGGAATAAAAACCATTGTTAGTGAACTATCTGTCCTCTTCAGACTTCATTCATGGATACTTATTCTCTTCTGAGAAAAGTGAAGAGGCTAAAAAGGAGACAACTTCTCTATTTCATCCTATAGTTCCTAAGGAAGCCAGATGCATCAGATTTTGTGCTTATTTAATAAATTAAATTCTGAGATTAAAAGCCAAATAAACCACCACAAACCTAGGACATTAATTTCAAAAAAATGCCCTTCCAGCATGCATTCTAGAACCCCGTCTCCCTCTTTCTGGACTCCCCCACAAACCAGAGGGATACATCATAGTAGGATATTTAGTAGGAAAAAACAATACTTACACAGTCGAAATTTTGACAATACTCTCTTTTTATTTCACAATATGGGAATAACTCAAATTTTAGTCTTAAAGACCAAAATATATTTGAACCAAATGTTCAGAAGATGAGCCAGGCCACCATTTTGGCAACAAGTTTCACATGGACAAGAGAATGTTGGAGAAGGATGCCCACAGCATGGCTAAAGCTATAGCACACCCACAAATAGATTCATACTTTGTTGTCTAATTTACATGCATGAGTACAATGCATTCTTCATGCCACTAGTACATATATGCTTTTTTCAAAGTCAGTACAGGATCTAAATTTGTGCAGGTCTTTTAAAGTCTGCGTCTATACAAAATTTTATCATAATTTATCTGCGAGAGCCTTTAGGTGACAAATTCTTTATGCTACCTTTACTTCCCAAAAGTCATTTCTGAATAATAATTACAGCTACCAGGAGTTCCAGCATCACATAAAAGAATCTGTTTGTTAGTTATTTGAATGTCAATAAACTGGCTGTGAGTGAACCTGGTTAAACATATCCACATGCTTGGTGCCTGGAATTTGAAATTGGTAATCTTTAGCAGCAATAGCAACTCTAGACCAAATGACAAGATAAACAATAACCAGACAATGTCCCAGACAGAGCTGAGTTTTCCTGCTTTGCAAAGCAAGTGCTTCCCTAATCTGCACAAAACAGTAACAGCCTGACCCACTATTGCCTGGGGGCCCACTTTTCCTATTAATACTGAATTGTTGGAAACCCAAACTACATTCAGCGCCAAGGGGGAACATGCTTGAATCTGAAAAGGGAACTAAAAGAAATTGTACCAGGGAAAGGAGACAGAAATAGAAAACAAGTTCCCAGAGTATCTCTGTCAACAAGCATGTAGAGTCTTTATTACTAGAATATGCAGAATCCCGTGAAAATTGCTGCATCTTTTTTTGCTTTAACTCTTTACTTGCCAGTCCTTCCCTGGTGGGTTGAACTGCCTCAACAAAAATGGGAGGCTGTCCCATCCAGAAGCCACTGAACAGCAGGTCTCAGGAGCCACACTCCTCGCAGAGACAGGAGAGGATGTACCGGTAGGTGGCCGTGAGTCGCATGCCCCCTGAACAGCGCAGCCGCAATGCCTTCAGCTTAGAGGTCTGGGGCCGGCAGCAGTGACAGGAGGAGCGGAAGGGCTGCTTGAGGACAGCGCTGAAAGACACCAAGGGCTCAGAGCGCGATGCCTGGCTGCATTGCCCCTCACACCTGGCCAGAAGCACCATCTGGGGAGAAAAGAAAGGTGGTTACCCTGCGGAGATACCAAAACCTCAGCCAGGCCCCACAGTCTCCTTTAAAAGGCACTAACACTCTTTGTCAATTTATGCTGATTAGACCAGTGGCTTTCAACTCTGGGTGCACATTAGAATCATCTGGCAAAACTTGTTTTGTTTTGTTTTTCAGTTGGCAAACTTGTTTTTAAAATGTCAACATCCAGGCCCCATATCAGACAAACTGAGTCAAAATCACTGAAGATAGGACCAGACTTTTGTGATTTTCAAAGCTCCTTAAGTGATTCTGACGTGCACTGAGAATTTAGAACAACTGGCTGAGGCTCACCACCATGACATGCAAATAAAAATCCAAAGACAAAAGAAATTTCTTCAAACAGGTAGCAGTCTACCATGGGCCCAATGCCAATTCTACCAGTCTCAAAATGCAGAAAGTCATTCCAAATTAAAATCAGAGAGTAAAGAATAACAACATAGAGCTCCAGTCAAGATGGCGGAGTAGGTAAACACTGTGCTTGCCTCGTCTCACAACCACATTAAAATTATAACTAAACTACAGAAAAACCATTGAGAATCACCTGAAATCTAACTGAACAGAAAGAAGTCCTACACCTGGGGACACACAGAATAGGCCACCTTGAAACTGGTAGGAGGGGCAGAGACATGAAACAGGCTGGTCCCACTCCCGCATGTGGCAGTTGAGAATTGTGAGAGGTATCTTGGCTGCATAGGTCCTCTCAGAGAAGGGATAGATCCCGGCCCCACACTGGGCTCCTCAGTGCCAGAAAGAGAAGTCCTCAGAACATCTTGCTGTGAAAATCAGCAGAGATTGTGGCTGAGTGAGACAAAGGGTTGGGGATGTTCCAGGCACTCTTAAGAGACCCAGCACAAAATTACTTGCTGACAGACTCACTCACTCTGAGCTCCAGCGCTGGGAGAGCAGCTCAAAAGGTGCTAGGGACACACGGGGAGGAAATGAGTTGTCTAGCTTCAGAGTGAATGCTGGAGGGGCAGGTTTCTCCCAGACAGAAATGCTGGCAGAGGCCATTGTTCCTTTGTTGAGCCTTCCCCCACCTGGCTTGCAGACCCAGGCAGATGCCATATTTGAGTCTCCATCGGCTTAGCTAAAACTGGCCACTTCACCCTAGTGAGTTCCTGAGATCCTGCCCCTCCCAACCTGTGGGCCTGTCTAAGCCTCTTTCACTGGATTTTACAAATGACCAATCTTTGTTCATGCTACAGACTTTCCTAAAATCTCTGAAAGGTTCACAAAACCTAAACAAGCAGCATCTGGCTAAGATGCCCTGTACTTCTTGCTGAGCAGCCCCAACCCTGGAACTAGCAGCAATTGCCTTGATTTGGGACTTGGCCTCTCAAGGCACTTCCAAGCCCAGCATGAGTGGCAGCCATCTTCAAATTGCTGGGTGGCTCATGCCAAGTGGCCCCAGGCAGGACATGGGCTGCAGCTGAACTCGGCCTGAGGCAAGGCCCCTCTCAGGAGGCCCCAGCCTGCATGCCCAGCGGCCAGCTCTGGTCTGAGATAGAGCACTACCTGGGGTCACATTTGAGGACGACACACCCAAAGGACAGATAGGTCAGGCACTAGAGCCCTGCTAAAGCGAATTTTGCTCTGTAGGGTAAGCTCTGGCACAACAGCTCCTTCACTGGTCATGGCCAGTCATCACAGCCTGAAGGTCAATCCTCCCATTGACAAGCAAATAGCAACCAAGGCTCAACTACAACAGGAGGGCACACACAACCCATATAAGGGACATACCTGGAGGACCGAGCTCAAGTGACCAGGGAAGACTGTGCCACTGGGCCCCACAGCACACCTACTACATAAGGCCACTGTACTATGACCAGGACACGTAGCAGGCCTACCTAATACATAGAAACAAACACAAGTAGGCAGCCAAAAGGGGAAGACAAAGAGACATGTCCTAAATGAAAGAACAGAACAAAACTCCAGGAAAAAAAACCCTAAACAAAATGGAGACAATCTACCAGATGCAAAGATCAAAACACTGGTTTTAAGGATGCTCAGTGCACTTAGGGGAAGAGTAAAGGAACTGAGTGAGAACATTAACAAAGAGATAGAGAACATAAAAATGGAGACAGAAAACATAAAAGAACCAGTCAGAAATGAAGGATACAATAACTGAAATGAAAACTATGTTAGGAAGAATTAACAATGGATTAGATGAAGCAGAAGATCAAATCAGTGATTTAGAAGATAAGGTAGCAGAAAACACCCAATCAGAACAACAACAAGAAGAATAAAAGAAAAAGGAGAATAGTTTTAGGGGCCTCTGGGACAACATCAAGTGTACCAACATTTGCATCATAGGGATACCGGAAAAGAAGAGAGAGCAAGAAATTGAAAACCTATTTCAAGAAACAATGACTGAAAACTTCCCTAACCTGAGTAGGAAATAGACATACAAGCCCAGGAAGCACAGTAAGTCCCAAACAAGATGAACTCAAAGAGGCCCACACCAAGACACATCATAATTAAAATGCCAAAGGTTAAAGACAAAGAATCTTAAAAGCGGCAAGAGAAAAGCAGTTAGTTACCTACAAGGGAGCACTCATAAGACTGGCAGCTGATTTCTCAACAGAAACTTTGCAAGCCAGAAGGAATTGACAGGAAATATTCAAAGTGAGGAATAACAAGGACCTACAACCAAGATTACTCTAACCAGCAAAGCTATCACTAGAATCTAAGGACAGATAAAGAGCTTCCCAGATAAGAAAAAGTAAAAGGAGTTCATCACCACCAAGCCATTATTACAGGAAATGTTAGAGGGACTTCTTTAAGAAGAAGAAAGAAAAATAACAAAGATAAAAAAATGTGAATAATAAAATGGCAATAACTACATATTTAGCAACACTTACTTTAAATGTAAGTGGGTTAAATGCTCCAATCAAAAGATAGGGTGGCCGAATGGATAAGAAAACAAGACCCTTACATATGCTGCCTATAAGAGACTCACTTTAGATCGAAAGACACACACAGACCAAAAGTAAAAGGATGAAAAACATGTTGCATGAAAATGGAAACAAACCAAACCAAACCTGAGGCAGCAATACTTAAACCAGACAAAACAGACTCTAAAACAAAGGCTATAATAAGAGACAAAGAAGAACCCAGTACTAACATTTCTGTGTATTTATTTGAAGAAACTCAAAACACTACTTTGAAGGGACATGTGAATCCATATTTTCATGCAACACTATTTACAATAACCAAGATATGGAGGCCACCTGGGTGTCCATCAATAGATGAATGGATAAAGAGGTGGTACATATATACAATGGAATATTACTCAGCCACAAAAAGAATGAAATCTTGCCATCTGTAACAACATGGATGGACTTAGAGGGTATTGTGCTGAATGGAGTAAGTCAGGCAGAGAAAGACAAATGCCATATGAGGAATCTAGAGAACAGGATAAACAAACAACAGAAACAAACTCACATTTACAGAGAGTATTTTGATGGTTGTCAATTTGGGAGTGGGAGATCTGTGAAGTGGGAGAGGATTAAGAGGTACAAACTGGTAGTTACAAAACAGTCATTAAGCTATAGAGTTTAACATGGGGAATATAGTCATTAGTATTGTAATAACTACTGGATTTATTGGGATGATCATTTCCTAAGTTATATAAATTTCTAATCCTTGTTTTGAACACTTGAATTAATACAATATTGTATGTCAACTATAATTGAAAAAATAAAAATATATACATTTTTTAAAAAAGAATAACTGCAGAAAAAAAGAATTTATTAAGTGCAGGATATTGCTAAACAAAAAGAATATGGTTTCTGAAGAAGAAAAAATGGGTAAACTGAGTGATACTTAGGGAAAAATATTCTAGGCACTACAACTTGAAACAAGAGCTTGAAATCTAAACAGAATACATTTGGGGCCCTAGAATGGTATTTCTGGGCTTATATATTGATGAAGTCTGAGATTTATGCAATGACATCTTCAGAGTCATTTAGGACAAATACTAACTCATTCTAACCATCCCCATTTCCAAAGGTAGATTACAATGATAATAAAGCTCGAGATGAAATCCAAAGGCTGTGTTCTTTATAAGTGGCTTTTAATGTGGCTTCAGAAAACAGACTCTTTTAAGAATCTGTTACAAACTACCAAAGTTACCCCCAGAACAATGGACATAGCACACACTCAATATTTTGCATACAGCTTAAGGGGTGAAGCAGAGGCTCACTTATTTATCTTATACATAAATCCTGGTAACCTAGGAGTGGCTGCCATGGGTAGGTAGGGTGGGCAGTTTGACTCATTAAGCTATTCATTAAGCACAGAGAGGGTGAGGGGAACCTGAGATTATTAATCCATATTTATGTGGGAAGGTTTTGTTTGGTGAATTTCATATTAAGTGATGGAGAAAAAGTTGCCCTATAATTCCAGAACCAACAATAAGAACATAAAAAGTGGAATTATTCAAATAAAAGATTAAAAGGTACATACATATATGTATATACATGAAACCATTTGACATTTACTTCATGATATTTAAGGAATTAGCGGTTATTAAAAACTCACCAGCTGTTATCTCTGACATTATCCTTTAGGTCAGAATTAAACACCCAAGGATTAAAAGATGGAAATGACTTTCCAAAATGAAGAGAAGATGACTTTTGATAATTATAGATCACTAACATCATTACCTGAGAAGATGCTGGGATGAATCCAACAATCTCTTAGCAATCAACAAGAGAATATGAGATACTAGGAAACAACCAGCAGGGTTTGGCGAAGATAAGCTGAGCAAGACCTACTGATTTATTTTCTCTGAAAGATCACAGAAGCAGAGAGAAAATGGCAGCTGCTTTGATTTTATTAAAGCTTTGATTCTGCTCTCCACATTGATAGGTGAAACAGACATGATCTTAAATAGGTTTTGAGAGATTATGCCAGAGGTCAGTAGTACCTGGGCCAGTCTTTGGTGCCTACCCCA